TTATCTGAAGAGAATGTTAAAGATTCAAAAGTTAAGCTCTAAGAGGCTAAAGCTAAATCTACCCATTAAGTAAGATTGCCTTCAGTAAGCAACCTCCTGTTTCTGCAGAAACCCATGCCTGCCTCAGCACATGCCAGAAAAGAGAGGCACCAGGAATTCTGCTGAAATAAGTTGCTATTGACTTACACTGTTATAAAAGGACGAACTGTGGTCATCCTTGTACATACTGGACAGCGTCCAATGAGAAAGCGACTTAAAAGGTATTAACAAATGCATGGATTGCATGGACTTATTAAGCTCCTTACAGAAAAATAATGTAATTTAAAAAAAAAAAACAAAAAACAAAAAACAAAACACAAAACCCACCCCCAAATTAAACAGCAATGGTGCTCCTTCATCAAGAGGCATTGTAACCTTTGTGATACTCTTACTAATATAAAATGTAGGTCTCCGACCTCATTCATCATGCATAAAGACTGAAGCAAGGCTCCTATACAAATAATGCAACCGGTACTGATTGTTGTTACAAATAAATCAGGATACTGGTGAAATGTACACCTTCAAATACAGTCCGAATTAGTTGGTTCTTGAATGCGTCAGTTACAATGCAAAATCCCTGCTGCATATGTTTTTATTATTCATGTGCATCAAAATGTATACAATTAGAGTTTTAGAATCACTAGAGATTTTGGGTGCTGAATCTAAGAACATTTTAAAACAGGTCTCTTTTTTTTAAGAGGGCAGCTCTGAAAAATCACTTACTCAAAGGTATTTTGACAGGGACTTTTCTTTCTGTCTGTGCATGTGCAGGTAAATGTTTAGATTTGTGCATACAGTGCACATAAATGCGTCCTTGAGCAAGCAATTTGCATTAGTGGTTGGGTTTCAGTCTGAGTATGAAGTATTAGTCCTATGTTCAGGATAAATGCATTCCGTAATGCTGCTGTCACTAGGATATGCATTCTGCATCTGCAGGAAATATATGAAGAATATATGTTTTTAGTTCCATGCGTTCACTATGCATTTCTGCAGCCCTTTTAAAATAGATGTCTCATTCTTCTCAGCTAAAAAAGGGGAATTCGCTCATGATTTACTGTCTTTAACATCTGCTTTCTCTACAAAACCTTAGGAAAAAATGTTGGGAGTTTCCCCTCGCTGTCAAATATAAAAGCTTCAAGGTTCCTTTGAAAAAGAAAACTGATGAGCTCAGTTTAGAGCACATAATTGCTGCTTTTACTAGTACAGGAGTCAATATGGTGCTAGTAACACGGACAAGGCAGTTACATAGTCAGGGCTCCGAACATGGTTATTGTGTCAGAGATGGCAATTTAGCATGTTCATACTAAAACTTAATGAATCATTTATTATCATACTTTTGTTTACCTTGTTAGTTGAGTAATTCTGTTTATAAATGCTACAGCGAATCATTGTTAAATGCTGAAGCTTTGACTAAAGTCACCTGTGAATCCAGCCATGAGCTGTTGGACTACAGACTGTGGTGTAAAAAGAAAGGCAAAAATGTTATTTGTCTTGATGCTTATTTTCTTCTTTTCATTTCATCTTTCACATCTTGCACTTCAGGGCTGGTTTCAGTGCAAATGAGACACATTTCATTGGGCATTTCAACTTTTTAAAAAAAAAAAAATAGATAGCATTATAATTTTGCAACCAATGGCAGGGAATGAAAGCTAGCATTCAGACACTTCAGTTCCTAATTACCAGAAGATAAATGGACATAAAATTATTAAGCAAAAGAATCTGAACACCATCAAAAGCAATAAATGTTCCATAGGAAATGAGTTTGGTAAATTTTAAGGCCATTATAATTAATCATCACGACTTGTTCATGAATTATAACTTGTTCTGCACTCGACTACAATTATTTTGATTCAATGCTTTTTATCAGTGAATAAAGTTATTCAGTTCCATTTAACCATCTAAAGCAATTTGCAAGATCTAAAACCTCAAATATCTCTCCTGTTCATCTCTTTCAGTTCACTTCTCCCATCCAGCTTTTTATGAGTCACCGAATTATTTCTAAATCCCAAACACATTTGGGTGACTAGCTTACTTACAAAACAACAACTGTAAAAAGAGGGATTATTAAATTGATGACTGTAAACCTAAGTTTGTATAAAAGCCTTTTAAAAACTTATTTATGCACGACTTTCTCAAATCATCACCAAAGGGCTGGTATTGACCTGCGAAGGGAAGGTACTCTTCAGTCCCTGTTGCCACACAACTTGCCTTCTGAAGGCCTTGGAATGATTTAGCTATTAATGAATTGAGAATGTATTTGTCATAAGGAAATTACTTCTTACATAAAAAACATTACAATTTTGTCATGAACACAGTAACTCAAAATGTCTTTTTTTTTAAAGGCTTTTGAAGCTGGAAATGCCTTTTGGCTTTCATTTGCTTTCTTCACCAACAGGAGGGAAAAAAGAGGGGAGTGGAAAGATCTGGAAACAGCATAATTAGGTCTTTAACAGAGAGATGTGGAACATTTGCTTTGGGTGAAGAAAATATGCTATTTGCAACAGAAAAATGTGTAACAGGTAACAGGAGAGCAGTTGCAAGGAAAAATGAGCGATCACCTGCATGTTGGGATGGGGTGAATAGAGGGATCGGCACAGAAGAGACTTTTCAGTCCTCTGGTGAAACACTAACTGGGCACATCAAACTCTACCTTGGAAAATAAAACCACATGGGACACTTTCTCTTCACACACTCATAGCACACAAAAAAATGTTTTGGTGTGTTTTGGTGTGTGAACGTGGCTTGTGCCACCAGCCTTTTGACTGATAAACCTCTTGTGGAAGATGTAGACAAGCTGGCGCTACAAGTATTTCTTCCTTCATCCCAGGCAAAGCCAGGGGAAGGAAATCGGTGCGACATCCATAAGACATGCTGGAAAAAACAAGACAGTTTGTCGAAAGAACATGCATTGCCTCATCCAATTTCTGGATTTGCAAAGAAGAGGCTGGCAGGTTCTTCACAAAGTGAAGGCGAGTGTGAGTGCAGACTGGTGGGGGAAACCAGACTGCCTTCCCAGCTGGGGAGCAGAACCACTCCACATCGCTCTGAGCAGGGAAATCATCCTTCCACCTAACATGACATCAGAACGGCTGAACTGGGCCAGAGTGGTGTTAAGGACATCGTCAGGCCTCCTGACAACATGCCCTTCAGCTCTGGGCTGTTGGGGCTCAGAGGCTTCCTCTCCTTTCACATACCCACCTCAACGGGAACGAGAAGCAATGGGAAAAACCAACAGTTCAAACTGCTGCAATTCACCCTCATGAGGTAGAACTACACCCAGGAAAGAACCCCCTGTCTGTAAAAAAGCCGGGGAGCCACTGCAGTCCTGGGGCAGAAGGCTGCATCAGGAGATCGCATGATTCAGAGAGGCTGCATGGGAGGCAAACCCACTTGGCCACATCCTTTCCCACCGACACCACCGGAAATTCCACCAAATAGTTCAAATTATTTTGCTTTAAAGCTCCGCTCCACATTACACACTAAGGGTTTCACTTTCCCATAGAATGTAACTAAAAGCTGAAGAAAATATGAAAATTCTTAAATTTGGCATATGCCTACATACACTCAAGATTTTATTAAAACATACATCACCAGTTTCCACCTCTGTCAAAGGCTGTGTACCCCAGACCTCTCGCAGGATACTCTTGAGGAGAGCATTGACTCTGAAATGGCTGTCAGGTCCTCCTACTACCACCTGACATGCAATTCTGCGTCTTCTCCTGTCTCATCTGGGAATATAAAACCTCCTTTTGACAGGTTGTAGAGTTTCCTATTTTAAAATTTTCCTTTTCTTCTGGCAACTGCTCCACTTCCTCAACTCCTTTCACTTTCATTTATTTTTAATAGTAGATATATTGAACTACTGAGAAACTACATTTCCATTTACTTTTTGGTATAAACTCCAGTGCTTTTGGGACACAGATGCCACTCTAGGTATATATTCACTCTTTGCATTTGCTACTGTTAACATCCACAATAACTGTTAGTTAACTGCAGTTTAAAGCAGTGGCCTTTTTTTTAGATCATGGCAGCAAGGAACACAATTATTTTTGCTTTATGCATCTCTGGTCCAAGACAGGTATTTGGAAAAATCCTCCTCCATAGCAAGGGGAATAAATCTGTTCAAAAATTCAAACAGCACTGAAAAGGCAACAATAAGTATCTGTACGAGCAGGCATATCTGAATTCTAAAATAAAAGTTTCATGGAGTTAACAACTTGTATGAAATAACCACTTTCTTCCTACTTCACTGAAGAAAGACCAGGTACAGGCCACAAACACTGTATAACTTACGGTAAAAAGAAAAGAAAAAATAAATCCCAGTGTACATATGAAGTGATTGCCTTATTTTATTCATTAGCTTAATCCTTGCAAAACACCCCACCCACTTACTGGAATGTACAACATCCCTTTATAGTCTCCTGCGCTTTCCTAGACAGAAGCCACAGTCCTCAACAGGTAAAGTGAAAAAAAGGGTGCCCGGGAGTAAGAAGATTGGGGCTGCTCCAGAGCGGGTATGAGCAGGAGCTGAGGGTAACCCCAGGACGGGCCATGCCCTCACTGACCAGGGCACAGTCACGCTGGGTCTGGAGATGGCAGGTGAAGACAGGTGCTGGTAACTGAGTCCACCCACAGCCCCAGACATGGTACGGGATGAACTGGTCCGGGGTCCTTCCAGGGAGTCCCATCAGAAGCTGCAGGAGATGGGGCTGGAGAGAAGGGTAGGACGCAGTTTCATGGTCCGTGCAGGTGACAGGTACGCCTGCAGACACTGCTCAGGGCAGGACTGGGGCTGCTCAGGGCAATTGAGGCCAAGCAGTACCCTCATGTCGCTGACAAAGTATCATTTACACACAACGTGCTTTAGTACAACGTACACGCGTTTATATTAAACAAAATGCTGGTGGTACAAAAAGCCTTATCAAAGACAGTAGTGCTGTTTCTGGATTTTGGCCTGTTTATTACTGTTGTTTGAGTTTTTTTGCAACTTGTGCTTCTTTTTGATAATGTGAAATAATCTGAACGAGTATGAAGCTGTTAATAAAAAGGAAAAGTAAGCCTGCCAACCAGATAAGTAAAAAAGTATTATATCCTTTAAACTCCAGAAAGTACGCAGGAGCAAGCCACAGGCCTTGTCCAACAAACCACAGAAAGAGGAGGAGTACACCACGATGCCAGGACATCTTAACACTAGGCATTACGAGGGGTAAAAGGCAGAGATACCAGACAAAGTACTGGGATGTGCACACTTTGTTAAAACTCACAAAAATAGCAGTGTGTAGGAAACAACAGAAGGCAAGGTCTCTGTAAAATGCTATGGACACAACCAGGAGCAAAAGCAGCTGGGGCAAGAAAGCTGCGAGCCCAAGGGCAAAACTCCATCTGCTCTCTGCAGTTAAGTACAACATGTAGAAATAGGGAGAGAAGTTATGACGGGTATCTCTCCTGGTCAGGTGGTAGAGGTAGGCATGCTCCAAAAACTCCCAGCCGTAGAGGTGATAAA